CCCCAAAACCCCAAAACCCCAAAACCCCAAACTACTTTTTATATCATGATCTAAGTATATTCAGAAATAAATTAAAATACTTGTAAACCATTTCGTAGTTAGTATTTTAATTGCATTATTTTATTTAATTAAGGTATTAAAAATGATGCATGAATGGAAAAGTTAAGAAAAACTTGTTGATGAATGGGAGACATAGGATGTCAAAAATCCTCTCAAGTATGACTTATTTGGCTACGACAAAAATGAATGGGACAATGTTCCATCTGTTATTCCAAGATTTTCTTTTTATCTTCAATAATATGTCAAAGGCTTAGTGGAATTTTGCTTTAACAAAAACTAAGAAGAATCCACTTCTACTCTAAGAAAATATGTATAAGGTGAGGTATTGAGGCTTGATTCCTAGATAGAATAGGAATCTAAAGAGTGAAGATTTAATGAAATGAAGGTCTAAGAATAAATAATAGATCTTTAAAAATAGATCGATGAAATAATGAATGATAGTCTAGAGTTTAGAGAGGAAATAAGGATGAAAGGAAAAGAGCAGTTATTAAACCATAGATTCTTTGCTAAAGGTGATGTTACTACTTATCAGTTCGAGCAAGAACAATACAGTCTAGAATTATCCTTTGATCACTTGAACGAGCCAAGAATGCTTTCAGTGAAGCAAGTTCGAGATCTCTTTTACTCTCTTTTGAATATTTCGTAAGCCACTTCAAGAATTAAAGAAACAGAAATAAATTTTGAAAAACTATAGACCAAATGCTACAAATTGTCGTATGATGACGAGTAATTATCTAATCGAATCAATAACAACAACAACACTGCCTTAAAGACTTTTGATGAAATAAACAAAGAGAATAAGCAGACTAAACTTGATAACGAAAGGAAATTTAGTGACTTCTTCCATAGAATCTAAAATAACTTTGATAACATTAAAAAGCTCAAATAGTATGCTGAGGAGCAAAAGATGTTTCAGGAAATGATAGTAAATAAATCTGAAAGCATCATTTCTAGAGTCAATAAGATCAGAGATAACATTATGGATGAACTTAAAAATGCTAAAATAGAACTAACTAATAAAATTGAGGATGCTGACAAGTACTTCGGTGAACAGCTAGAAATCACGCAAGCTTCTATAGATAGGAATAAAGTCATATTGAAAGAACTGATTTTGAGAACAAAAGAAGACCTTTAAGGCTCTCTTAAAAAGGAAAGTGAGGATATCAAAAGCTACATTCATACTACTAAAGATGAAATATTTTAAGATCGAGGAACAGTTTAAGATAAGTTTAATGAAAAGCTTAGAAAGATCAAAGACATTTGCTCTACATACTTTGCCAAATATGAAAAAGAATTGCTAAATAACTAGGATAAAATGAACGAACTCAATTAAAGGTGTGAGGAATGGGCAAAGTTGATTGTCTAGCCTTAGGAGCTTAATTAAGCTAGACTATTTGCGATTGAAACTAGAATGAAGGAAAGTGAAGAATTTAAAGTAAAAGAAGTAAACTTTATCAAGGACACGATAAAAAAGTTGATATTTGCTCTGGAATAATCAGAATTTCAAAAAGGAAGTACAACTAATAAACATAGATCGGTGCATACTGGTAGCCTTGGATATTAAGATTTCAATATTACCCCCTTATAAAATGAGTCAACTTTATCTCCAGCAGAAAGAGCCTAAACGACTATAACAGCAAAGAAAATCTATGGAAAAACGGAGCTTTTACTGGATGATTAATCAGTTGCTCCATTGCCAAATCTTATGATAAATAACAAGAATAGGGGTCAATCAACAGTTAGATCAGCAGCTACAGGAACACGGCTATAAGTAAGAGATAATTCTAGTGTAATGGGAGATAGAATCTCAAACATTTCAACTGGTCTTGAGATCTAAGGAAGTCTCCCTACTTACGATATCTTATTCCTTAAGAGACTTCTATTTCTAAAAGCATCAATAGATCAAGAAACAACAAATGATGTTTACTAAGTGCCTCTAGTTGAAATCCCTATTGAATCATAACAAAAAATGAGCAAGACTTTTATGATTAGTGATCAAAATCAGGAAATTCTAGATGACTATACTTAGTCTTAAGATAGAAAATTAGGGAATAGTCTTTTCTAAGATAGAAGAGCTAGACCTCATTTAGATTCTGTAAGACTTAGTAATAGAAGATAGATTTAGAAATCTATTGACCTTTAGGATTATCTTAATTTCCAAACTGGCTTAGACTACACTAAGGTAAAAATGAAATTCGACAAGAACAGGAAAATCAAATCTTCATAGGTATCAAACAGAGAGCCACAAAATACAATTCCACAGAAAACAAACTTACTTGCTGACTAAATTAAAAATAACCGTTTTATAACAGAAAAGGACTTTGAGAATGAGAGATTAATCAAAGAAGAGCAAACTAGAAGACTCAAAATTTAAGATGCCAGCTACCCTACTTTCTAAGATGATGATATTGATAGAGTCTAATTATGAACTTAGTTAATAAAATATATTTGAATTTCTTGCTACATTATTGTCGTCAAATTCATATCTAAAATTACATGCAGTGGGGTTTTGGGGTTTTGGGG